AAATTGAAGTTGCTCAAATCATTCTCAGTTATGCTTAAATAGTCGCCACCTATATTTTCTTCACCTTTATTTGCTATATTGTGGTAGCTAAATTATTGCCATTATAAGGCCCATTGCATTAACCTACAATTTTCTTCTCTTTCTTGTTTAAAGAAATTAATGGCTTGTGATCAGACTCCAAAATAAAAGCTTTAACACATAAATATGTGTGAACAATTTATATAATACCCAAATCATTGCCAAACACTCTTTCAATTACAGAATAAGGCTTATCTCTGATTCGCAATTTACTGGAATTTTCCTTTCTCATATTGTTCCAAAAAGACTGCACCAAGCCCAACTCCAACTCGCATCTCAAAATAAAACTCTTAGTAAAATTAGGCAACCTTAAAATTTGTTGCTTACTCAATACAACTTTCAAGTGATTAAAGACACATTCATGGGGATCCCGGTAAAATACCAACCTTCTTTTCCTTTTTTTAATTGTGGAAACACGAAAACACGCGACCTTTCTTATTTACAATAAAAATGGGTGAGGCATAAGGTGAATTTGATGGTTCAATCACAGCCATTTCTAACATGCTCTTAATATCACTATATCTGTCATAGCAAAGAGAATGGTTTTGACCTAACTGGTTCAGATGTTATCAATTTAATATCATGCCCACCAACATTTGATTCTCCCGGACAATCAGTGAGAACCTCAGACAATTTTCTCACAACTCCATCACAATCCATGTCATCCATGACAATCAACCAATCACTGAATTTGCACCAATTCACCACAGTATTGTTTCACTGTCAGCAGTATCATATTCAACAACTGCAGTGCACACACAGTTCATCACACCTGTAACCACTTGATTGACTTGTAATGCCCCATACTATACAGCAATAGTCCAATAACGACTGAATAAATGAAAAATACAATGTTCTTCTGAAGGAAGTAGGTAGAAAGCTGCAAACTCTCATAAGAACACCAATTCTTTGGACAAGCTTTTTACAAAGCATATCAACATGATGATCCCATGATAGAGTTTTATCTAATACCACCCCAAGCGACTGAACTGTTTCAATTATTTCACCATTGAAGTTAACCAGAAAATCTTCACCAACATTTGTTAGCCTTGACGGGATCCAACGAGCATAAATTTTGATGTGTTGATTGACATGTAATTGCGAATAACCCAACGCAAAATTGGCCAAACATCATCATTAATGCACTTTGTGACCACATTGATACTTGGTCCAGGCGATGCACGTGTTTTTCAAAGATTTTTGAGATTATTGGGAGCAACAATAATGGACGAAAGTTACACAAATCATGGGATCCACCCTTGTGTAATGGAATAACTTTGGCGTGCTTAAACATGTCTGGAAAAATACCTGATGAAATGCTGAGGTTGAATAAATTTACAATACTTTCACAAATGAACGGAGCAGAAATACGCAAAAGTTTAGATGACGTAATGTCAAGGCCAGCTGACTCAGAACTAGATAGTAAGATCAGTTGGCTATTCACGAACTGGCATGTGACCGGCGGTATAACAAATGGTCGAGTATTGTTCAACTTGAGTTCAATAAATGTCCGTAAATTCGAAAAATATGAATCTCCCACTGAAACACTGGGTCGTAACTTGTCGGCAATAGAAGCAATTAATTATTTGTTATTTGTATAAGTATTAACTATTTGTTCGTAGTTATTGTCAACTGAAATATGAACGTTGAGAGAGCTACGTTTACCACTACTAATCAAATCGTTAAGGGTTTTCCACATGGCGGCACTGTTAGAGCTATTGATTTTGGTAAGGTGAATATAATGTTTTTTCTTAGCGGCCTTGATTAAATTAACTATCAAATTACGTTTGGCTCTATATTGGTTTAGGACAGTCACATCACTCAAAGTACGTGCAAGCCTTCGAAGATTGTCTCTTTCTTTAATTTCAAGTAGATTATCCGTATTCAGCCATCCAGGCTGTCTTAATTTTTTCACACGTCTACAAACAAATGGGGCATGCGAATCACAAATATTATTAATAATAGAATGCCATGTCTCAAATGCTAAATTAGTATCAGTAATATTGTGTACGGAAAGTAGAGGCGTGTTCCGAAAGTCAGCCAAAAATAGAAACTCAATGAACATTTTGAAATTTCTATAGCCTATAGAAACATGGTTGTTTGATTGGGGAAAGGAAAGGAGCTTACGAACCAAGAAAATAGGGTTATGGTCCGAAATACCCAAATTATGAATGAGAGCCAAATTAACATTTTCATTATGATTTACATAAACATGGTCAAGACATTTACCGGACGCAGGTCTCGTAACACCATTAATAATGTGAGAAAAGCCTAAATCAACTAAGAAATTAAACAAGTAGTGAGTACAATTAGATATAACATCATTAATTGAAGTCACCAAAAATATAAATTTCTTTGCCTTCTAGGTAAGCTTTTTCAATGTTATGAGCTAACAGTCGCTGCTAATGCTTCATGTTCGCTGCAGCTATCGTTGTCCGATACTTCTGAGGTGGTTCAATCGCAGTCGGAAAATGCTTCCGAATATTCGAAACCTCCACTATTGTGAAATTGTGAAAGTGAACAATTACCAGTAGCATAATCACGCGGCAGTTGAATTCATCAATTGATAGTGATAGCCTTGATACACATTCCAAATAGTGGATTATTAATGCAACTAAAACTATCACTGTAAAATATTAGTATTACAGTCTATGTTTTCATTTTCGGCATTTCGCCTATATTTCTAATAGTTAATGACCCTGATGTGTAATGCATTATTTGGGGAATGTCTTGCACTATAATTTGACTTCGATTATGAAACAAAAGAAAACATGGACAATTTAGTTATTAAAGCAAGTTTGTTAGTGAACACTATCCCATTGACTGGTTGATGAATTGTGCATCGACTATAATTATAACATTTTTATTCGAGCTTACCATGTTAGCAGTTATATCGTGTGGTCTGGATACTGGAAGTCCTCCCGATCATGTGAAACCTGGAATGGTAATTTCACGGAAAAGGTTTGAAATGTCATACTACGTTGGGGATATACCATTCCTACCTGGGACACGAACATTTGCATATGTTGTAATAGAAGCATCAAAAGTCAACTATATTGCAGCTGCAGATGTAGTAAGTAAATTGCAATATAAGAAACCAGCTAAATAGTACCAAAATATTACTGTATCACAAATTATAATCATGATGATGGACAATAATGAAAGTAAGACAATTATACTACAAGCTAAAACATTATTATTATTACAAGGATTATAAGAAAGATAAATGTAGTACTCCAGTGTGTGCATCTACACCACTGTAAATTATCATGAGT